TTTAAATAAATGGAAGCCTTTTCTGTAAGCTCAAATTGTGGAATCAGTTCCCCATGCATTTTCCACTAATGTTACTGTCATTGCAGTAGAATTAATGATACATAAACAAACAGTATTACAGTACTGTATTTATTAATAAACACCACAAATCAAGTTGCAGATGACTGCTGCATTCTAGTTTCATGAAGGTTGGAAGCAGATGGAGATATATTAGTTGTGTTTTTTCTAAGCACTATAATAGGTGCTAAATTGAGGGATTTTCAGATGATGGGCTTAGTAGAAAGAGAAGGAGAGAGAAAGGTGAAAAAAATACTATTATACTTTCTGATTTCAACAGTACTTGTTATGCATTTGTCAATATTTCATTTAGAGAAGAGACCATAGCTTCACTATATGGATTCCTTATTAAGGGTCCATATTCAAATTCTGGTGTTTAGTAGTTAAAAAGAAGCAGGTAATGGACAATCCAGACCTGAGAAAGTGGCTGCTAAGTATGCCTGTATGGGAAACCTTGTTATCTTCTTCCTAATGATCCATGTTTTGTGCATATATCACTTCAACTGTAAGAATAAGCATGGGGACTTCTGCCTCTATATATTAAATGTGTCAGAATAACAATAGGAGACGATATCTGTCTTGAACTCTTATTTATTTATCTGCTAGATGTATCTGGTGTGCCACATTGTGCCATAGAATGATGCTAGATGGGCCTACACCAAAGTCAGCAGGATTAGTCTCCTGCTCATGTTCTTATGACATCAAGGCCAGCCATTTCTATTGCAGTTGGAAGATTTTTAAAAAAATAAAAAGCCGAGTACTGTAGCTGTAGTACCCTAGAATGAAGGATGGAGTATTTTCATTATAGTTGTCTACAGAGGGAAAATTTGCAAAATTATTATCTAAATAACATACTATTGATCTTTTTCCAGAGAAAAACATTCAGTTTAAAAGGTTCTGGTTTAACTGAAACGTTTACTTGTTTGTTTATGTATTTATTGCATGTATATATTACCAAACTCAGGACTGACTTAAGTTGTTTACAAAAGAAATAAGAATGTAAATTACAAAAAGATGAATAATAAAAATCAATAAATAATATAATGTAAAAATCACAGAACCAGTCCCATTCATTAATAATAATAATTACAGTTAAAATATAGAAGAAGCTATGCTATCTGAGTCACTAAGTAAAATCATTTTCCCCAACTGGAACACAGCACCAACATTATCTCTGGGCTTTCATCATACATTCCATATAGTGGACACATGCAAGTCACATATATAAAGTTTAAATTCAGTGAGTGTTAGGCCTAATTATACACTGCACATTAATAGAAGAAATTTTATGTAACTCAGGGTTGAATTGTGGAGTCCTTGGTGTTTTCTGAACTTGGTTGCTTGCTTGCAAATATTTAAATCCCGGAGTAGATAACTTCATCAGTTTCTTCTATGTATAAACACAGAGCAAACCTCACACTCACTATTTCTAATGAAGTTACCTAGTCAGGTAGTAAAATGTCTGCAAGTAAATAAAACTCAAAGAATACCAAAGACTCTACACTGCATATCAATCAATGAAAGCTTTTCTCTAGACAGGGCAGTTATAAAAAGTGATGGGAAAGAGGTATGATATGCACACCTTGGTGCCTACTTTTGTTCAAAATGTACCACTTTGAGTAGAAGGGCTGTTAGCATCATCCTCACCCACTACATATGTGCCTTCTTTGTCTGAAGAATAAAGGTCTGAGAGGAGTGTTTTGGAGTGGAAAATGTTGGGATGAGAAAGACCTGAATATTTTTACTATCCCGGTCCATAATTAGTATTCTAGTACTTTAAACCCTTCTCCCCAGAGATAGTAGCCAAATATTTCTTATTAATGGAGGCTAACACTTGGTATCAAAATTATATTGACCATAGCTAAATCTTTTTTGTGGTCATATAGGATAGTTGAGAATAACAAATATTTAAATTATTGGCATAATAAAGATGTGGATCATTTCAAAGACAGATTTATGGCTTCTAGATAAGTTTAAAATGAATATGGGTATCTATGAGCATGATTTTAGATATACAGAAAAATGGTAAGCTTTCTTCAGTGAGAAAGAAACATGAGAAAATAGTTCATATTTTACAAACATGAGTTTTCCCACCAGTGACTTAGTAGGCCCTGCCCTACCATTTTCTTAACAAATTGGACTACTCTTCACCAATCCTTGAACAGACATAAAATTATAATTGCATATTAGTTATTCCTATTCCTGACCATTATCTTGATTGAATTGCATCTGTTTTCATTTGTTGCTAGTTCCCTGGCTAAGATACAATGTAATGGATGACAAATCTCAGCTTAGTTAACATATCTAAAGATGTCCTTAGACAGTGTCAAAATAAACTTTATTTTATCATTGACAGAGCTTATAGAAATTTAAGCTTATCTTATTGATGGGTTGGGGATGAACTGACATTAATTTAATGAGTATATAGCAGAAAAAAGGAGGTTTACCATGCATTTTTACCATCAGATAAAAAAAAATGAAAAATCTAGAGTCATTTAGTCATCATTGTTTGAAAATAATGAGGATGGGCTTTATATCCCTTCAAAAATAGTTGTTTAGTGCTGGAAAGTGTAATAAGGCACTCATGGAGATCCTGTGTGAAAAACAATAGTGTTCAGAATTGGTAAGTTGTTGTAATAATAACATATAAAAAATGTTCACAAAAAATGTTGAGGAGAGTCTTCTTTATGTGATTTTCCTCCCTTCATCTCCCATCTTAGTCACTCTCACACATACTTGAAGTCACCCCTGGCTGGTACTGACATACTATTTTATAAGTTTGCTTTTTAACCCAAGTTCTTGTTCAGTTGAAGAACCAAAAGAGGCATGCTTACGAATTTTCTGGATGATTTATAAAACTAGCTAAAATGGGATGTATGCTGTCAATTATTAAAAAGATATCTCGGGATGAATTAGGAGAGAGATAGAGAGAGAGTGAAAGCAATTCAAATTATTTTAAAAATATGAGTAGGATGAAGAAGGAATTTATTAGACTAAAAACTAGTCATGAAGGAAAAAAATGGAGAATGGAATATACTATTTTTCCACATAATGTTGTTGACCATGATGTTGACTTATTGTCCTGCTTACATGCTTATTTTCCAAGAATTGGTGTATTTATTTAAGGATTAGCAATGTCAGATCACCTCTGAAGATATAAATTAGGAATCATGATCCCATACAATGAGAAATGGAGCAGTTTGAATGTACAAAATATCCACACCAATATTATGGCTGTAGAACGAGAGGATAAAATTTACATTCAATATCTGATTTGTATTTATGAAACTGAATGGTTTTCAAAAGCCACTGAACTTTTAGGTCACTTTATTTAAATATAAAACATGTATGAAGCTATCAGATCACCAATCTGTTCTGAAGATCAGAATTATTTGCTATCAAAAATAGATTTCTTTATCTCAGGATTTAATAACTGTTGCCTAAGACTGAAGACTGTAGGAATAAACCTTCAAACCCTAAAGCCTGAGGAATAAAACAGTTTATAATTCTATAAATTGGAACAAAACATTTTGGTTTAAAACTAAGCATTTATGATACTTCACTACTCATTTAAATTAATGTGTATTGAATTAAACATATATACATATTAAATCAAGTCCTACAAACATACATAAGAATGAACTTATTCTAGTTTAATTCTAGATATGGTTATTTACTGAAATGTTTGAAAATCTGGGCTGATTTTAAACTGACTGTCAGGAATGCTCTTATTCATATGGGAGCACTCAAACTCTCCTTTTTCTGATTGGCAGGAATAGAGTTTATGAGATATACTGAAAATGCAGTGAAATAAATATAAACCTAATAAGCACTGATGTTGAAGAATATCAAAGAAACAATGCTCTTAAGTTTAAATCATTCTTTTTTTAGCTTGATTGCAAGTTTATAAAACAAGGGTTTGTGTTATCTGTTATTGGTGACTGGAATGGATATACAGGATGTGGAAATGAAATGCTATTCGATGAGGTCTGAAAATATGTTGGACTCTTTCCCTAATTTTAATTTTTCACGCAGTTCTTGTACATTTTGACAATTAATCCTCCTGATTGAAAAAAAAAACTATTTTTTTTTTTAAAAAGGGGATACCAAACCAATCTTCATCAGTTGGAAGATTAGAAGAGTGTATGAGTTACCAACAAGAGACCAATTTTATCAGTTAAAGAATTTAATACACCTAAATATGTTAGAAAGAAAATATTACAAATCTGAAAACTGAGGCATAACAGTTACATTTTCCTACTTTAACATTGCAGTGCTTTAATAATTTTGAATTCTTAGACTGACCACACCATTCTGGCGAAAGTGCAGATTTATATCTTTGTGGTTAATGTTATGAGACATTTTTAAGATGTCAACATATCAACATAATATGGAATACATATTCTGAAATACATTAATTTTAATGTATTTTAGTAATTACAGATATTTTATGATTTTTAGAAAAACTCACTATCATAAAAAGGAATAGAATTGTGGATTAAATACAGAAATGACTCAGACTGGAAGTAAATGTATCCATCCCTGTTTTAATATAGTTAAATAAACTAATCTTTTCTTATTTCTATGTTCAGAAAAACAGTCCTCCTAACTGTTCAGTTGCTGAGCACTGGGAAAAGCCAATGCTTTTCCAAGGTGATAGTAATTTGAACAATATTACTAAAAAATAGGTTTCTCCTGGGTTTTGTAGCTACGTTAATTAGTTGTAAAGCAACAGACATCTACTTTCCCCATATGCTGCCACAAAAATTATATCAATATTATCAATTTTCTTATTTGCAATATATTTTCTCCAAGATTTCAAATTAAAAATCACTTTATGTTATTTAATTCTTATCCAGCTTCATGACTACTACTTAGTTCCATCCATGTTGCCGATTGACCTTGTTCAGTTCTCATTTTTAACTTTTGTTCTTTTCCTGCAGGAGAAAATATAAGAAAACATCACAGAGGTAAGAACAGATTGCAGAAGAATAAGAAAGCATTTGAAAAAAAAAATAACCTATTATGATTCTGAAATTATATTTTCTTTTATTACTAGTTGTGATGCTGTAAACATTCTACACTAAGTCAATATAATGTAAACCCACACTAAGTTAATTGTGTGGTCTCTTAATGAAACTCAGTTGTGGACTGATAGTTAGAAAAAAATATGACAGAATGTCAGTGCTGACTTTTGTATTACCCAGTCTGATGCTGAAGTAGTGGAATTTGATATATAATTCTTAAATGTCTTATAGGTTCAGGAAGATATCTGACCAAGTGAAAAAATAAGGCCTTTGACTTTGATATATGAATCTTAATAAATCAATTTATAACTTCTTTTGATATTCTGAAATTGTGCTATGCAATAAAAATAAACTGCAGGCCCACGTTTTTGCAGAAAACAGGTATTCTGATTAATATTATGAAGGCATAAAATATTGCCCTTTTGTTCTAACAAAATATTGTTGTTCAATTCTTATTTATTTTAACAAACAAATTCATCTTTTAAGATGGATTTGTGTCAGAATTGTTTTGGTCATCTACATAGTGCCTGAAGCTAAACATTATAAAAAAACTGCCAAAACACACACAGGACTGAGTTGCTTAGTGCTTTTGTGCCTATCTCTCTCTCTCTCTCTGTGTGTGTGTCTTTGCCATGAGAACTATAAAAAGAATCCTGATTGATTCTGAGTCTGATTGATTGCTTTGAAGTTTTATTATGCTAATTGCTTTTGATTTTGAAGTGGGGGTTAATGGGAAAATATATCCAATCACATCTTGCCATTTTCACAGGCTTGCTTAACATTTTAAGCTAAACACTAATTATTCTTAGGGCAATTGTTTCTCACTGGCAAAGTTATCTGAACCCTCCTTCAGTACCGAGAACTCTTCTGCAGTGTTACCAGAGTTGACTCCTGGCAATTCCCAGACAATACCGTGTTTCCCTGGAAGTAAGGCCTATCCCAAAAATAAACCTTAGCTTGATTTTTGAGGGTGGTTCTAATATAAGCCCTACCCCAAAAATAAGCCCTAGTTTTGGGGCGAGGCACACACTTAAAAATCAAGCTAGGGTGCGGATAGGGGTGTGGATCTGCCCCATGTGCCCCGCACCCACTTACTTGGCCTCTCCTGACCAGCTTATTTCTTCTGCGGCATCTTCTGCAGCCAGGCCTGCATTTTTCAACCACACGCCTTTCTGTGGTTGAACTCAGTACTTGGTTGTATAGGCCTTCCAGAAAGACCTGTGACTGAGAAATGCAGGCCAGAATGTAGCTGCAGAATGCAGCTGCTCCTTCTGCCCCAGAAGAAGTGGACCTGCTGGGCAGGGCTGTCAGTGTTGGAGATGCATAAGACATCCACCCAAAATAAGACCTGGTGCCTCTTTTAGAGGCAAAAAAAAAAAAAAAGAAAAAGAAAAAAAGACCTGGTTTTATTTTGGGGAAAACACGGTATATGCAGGGATTGTTTTGGAAAGATTTGAGAAGAGAATTGGTTTTGGCTTTTTCCTAGGGCCAAGGGAGAGAGATTGGCTCAGGGTCACTCAGCTGGCTGCATGCCTAAGCTGGACTGGAGCTCACAATCTTCAGTTTCTAGTTGGATGTCTTAAAAATGTAGATTAAGGGAAAAATTATAATGATCCCTCTGCTTAAAGAATATAATAGGTAAAAATATACTTAATATACTAACATATTTTTTAACAAATATCTATTTTTATTACATGTAATGGCAAAATTTGTAAACATAAATATGCATGTTTGGAGAAATGTTCACAACAGCAATTTATAAATTTATTTACATTTATACCTAATCTTTCTTTTAGTGATTCAAAGCAGTCCCTAACGAGGCATCTCTAATGTCTTCATTTGAATCATTGAGCTGACAAATCACCATATGAACTCCATGGTTGGGTAGGAATTTGAACATGGGACTCTTAAGTCTTAATGGTGTTATCTAACCCTAGATATGAAAAGAATGGGGCTAGGTTACAGGGGTAGGCAACCTTGGCTCTTTTATGACTCGTGGACTTCAACTCAACGTGCTGGTTCAGGAATTCTGGGAGTTGAAGTCCACAAGTCATAAAAGAGCCAGGGTTGCCTACCCCTGGGCTAGGAGAACAGAGGGACATATGACTAGTAGGACCAAGGTATTAGACTGATTCAGCTAGAAAATAAATCTGCACAGTTACAGGCCAAAAATTTAACTGCTAGCCCCTGTGTGCATTCTATGAAAGTTATAAAGGGCAAAATAAAAGAAATGTTAGAAATGAAAATGGATAGATTCCTAAACATCAGAAATAGAAAAATCAAATAGTGGCAAATTTATCTTATCTCATTGGTCTTTCACAGAAAGTACATCCCAATTTGTTCAGTGTATTGTACTAGATATAGCTATTTTAGATATATTAAACAGAACGATCAATGTCTCAATATTTATTACAATTGGCCATAAGGTGCAAGTTTTTCTATCATTGGGTCAGAATTAAGAATGTTAGGAATGGATCTCTGTGGAATAAACAATTGTTGCAATAAAACAAACATTAATGCATTATTCAATTTTGTCTTCTTCCGGCCTATTTTCTTCTTTGTACAATAGGATTACAATCCAGAAACATATTTTTTAGTAGAGTAGCTGATAGCAATATCTGCAGGGGTGAATAGGTTAAAAAAGTCAAGATGAGCCAGAGCCATTTCTGGCTCTCCAAATTTAGGCTGCTGGTTCAATTGTTCCCAATTATTTTTCTCTGTTTTTGTCTGCCACCACACAACAATCTGGCAATCTTGTGTTATTTCAGGTTTGATGTTAGAAAGAGAAATGGATGTGTCCTTTGTTGCTAGTCAGAAGTGGAGTAATTAGAACATTTTGAGGTTCTGCATGAAACTGACAATATAGAACAAACTTTCTAAAATGTTGACTAAATTTTGTTATCAAAGCAAATATAATTATATTGAGATTGGCACTTTTTAGTGCTGTTGGCTAAGCCTTCTAAGCCTGTTTATTAAAAACATGGGCATTTTAGAATTTGGTAGGCAATCCCCAGCTTCATTAAACTTAGAGCTCTTGATCAGCAAGTGATAATACCAAGAGAAAAATGTTCAGTGCCTGGTAACATAAATTATCTAATCAGGATTGCTGATTTTCAGGAAACCTTGGATGAGGGAAGATTGCTTAACTATTTAAACCATTACAGTTTTATGTATAATTTTTATTAAAGCAGATAATAAAAGTTAGGCTAATGAAGAGTAAGAAAGAAAAAAGAAAAAGTAAAAAGAGCAAAGAAAGAAAATGTTAAAGAAAAATAGAAAAGAAAAAGTATAAAGAATGGCTTCCAATATTATTCATAGAAATCATAAATATAGATATATTTTGACCTTTCACACTAAAGTTACATCATATCTCTTTCTGTAATATACCCTATCTAATAATCTCATTTTTTTTATTTTTACCCAAAAATTCCACAAAAGGCTTCCAGTCAGCAGTAAATGTAGATAGTATCTTTTTTTCCAATCAAAGAAGTTGATTTAGCCATTTTAGCAAAATCTGTCAATTTCACCCACCATTGAGAAAGGATTGCAGGCACCAGTAAGTAAAAGACAGCTCAGTTCTGAGAAAGAAGAAAGCGTGATAAAGATGGTTGAAATAATGCTGCATTAATTCTGTCTAGAAAAAGAGACAGTAGAGGGAAATGAAGTCAACTTTTGGATTCTGTTATATCTTCTAAAAATAAAAATAAGAGTTTCAGTATTGTCTGTATTGGCTCTTCAAGTCCTGGCCTATTTCAATGGACTGACAGTAGCTTACATATCAAATGAAATGTAAAAGCAGGCAAAAAACACAATAATAATGATTCCTGTGAAGATATTTGAAAGAGTACTTAATTAATCAACACTTATGCATAATGAAGCAAGTAAAGCTTGGAATAAAAATAAATACCTTGCTTGTCTTTAATGAAGAAGCTTATAAAAATACATCAAATGTCTTTGATAGTAAGATATACAAACTAATATAATTTGAATACATAACATTCAAATCTGTCTTTAACTTTGCATTTTTTTAAAAAAATCTATAAACACAACTTTCAGAATCTTTTCCCTTATAGAAGTATAATTGGATTAGAATAATTGGAAAAAAGGATTGCCCCCTCCCCCACATTGTCCACTGAGATTCCTTTCTGTCCATGGGAACATATTATGTTAGATCAATATAGTTCATATTAATTTATTTTTTTGTATGTATAATTTTTATTTAGAATTTTAATTGCAGTAGTACCAAAGGTGCTTTTTCAGTAGGCAACTGGACTTTCTTGTTTTTCTTTGGAAATATTTTGCTTCTCTTCTTCAGCTCTAACTGAATGGTAGGGAATGGAAGGATTTATACTCCTTGCAGACAACTGGTCATTTGCATTCTTTTAGAGAGTTGTTGAGGCCATTTGAAAGTTAACACCCTGAGGACACAGGTAAACCTCCAATTGGCCTCAATGATTCTCTAAAAGAATGCAAACGATCAGTTATCTGCAAGGAATATCAATCCTTCCATTTTCCACCATCATCAAAACTGAAGAAGCTTCTTGGATGAGAAGCAAAACGACTTCAAAGAAAAATAATCCAATTGCCTCTTGAAAAAGCACTTTTGGAAAAACCATGACCTGGGTGACTGAGAATCTCCATAGACAAATTACAGTAGTAAAAATCTAACACAAAGAAAGGAAGAAAAGAAAGAAAAATAGAAAGAAGAAAAGGTGCAAAAAAGAAAAGAAGAGAAAAAAGAAAAGTAAGAATATAGTGAAAAGAGAAAAAAATTATAAAGAAGTTACTTCAAGCCATCATCACAATGAATAGAAACAATTTTTGTAACCCTTCACTTTCTCTAAGTTTACAACCAATAATCTCTTTGTCCCATATCCCATCTCTTATATCTAGATAAATTCAGAAAGCATAATCTTTTTAGTCTTAGTGTCAACAGAAACTGA